AGCTTTTAATTGCTTTTATAAATAAGACTTATTACGGACACTATTGTGTTAAGAAAATAAAATTTCGAATAATTTTTACATTTTGTTTTTAAATTTAATAATTTGTAGTATATAAATCTTTTAAAATTCGGCATTACATTCAGCCGTTTAGGTGATATTGATATTAAATGAAAAACTACATTTACTAATAAAAAATTATATAATATATATAATATTATATAATATATATATATATATATATATATATATATATATATATATATATATTATAAATTAATTGATTTAAAATGTTGTTTTCATGAAAAAACATATTTTAAATCAGTTAATTTATAATATTTATGCTCTATAAATTTACATTGAGCAATCTTTTGTAAAATTGGAAATAAAAAATATCAATAAGAACACTGAGTATATATCTTACTGTTCTTTCTTTATATATATATATATATATATATATATATATATATATATATATATATATATGATGTTTCTTAAAGCGAATTCATACAGTTTATAAAATATTCTTTAACTAATTACGATACAATATATTGATATTACTGCTGTTGTCTCTATGAATTCTGTTATGATTGTTAAATTTTGGAAGAAACTATTTTATTCCGCTGTCTACAATATAGTTTGAAGAGAGCGCACATGGTTCCATTGAGGCACAACCTAATGACAAAAGAAAAACTATAGTTGACAACGGCTTTTCAATCTACATTATAAACAAATAAAATTGTTTCTTTCAAAACTAATCCGTAATCAATTAGTTAACAAGAACAATAGTCACACAATCAATCTGTTATTGTAACGAGCTACACAAAAACTACGAACAGAATGAATTAATTTTAAGAAACATTATAAAAATGTACCACTCCTAAAATACCTACCTACCTACCTACCTACCTACCTACCTACATGTATAGCTGGTCACCCGTATTCGAGAATACCCGTCTGCTAGGGTGGCTAGCCAATTCCTATTGCAGACGCTTGCTCTGGCGTATTTGTGTTTATTCAACACCCACAGAGACCACCTCCGGTTTATACTGCAACTACGATGAGCAAACCTTAGTTACAGTTTCTGGGAGAGAGCATGTCATCTAGCGTGATCAACAAATTGAACAAGGCCAGCATGCTCAAGCCCTCGGCCACGATAACTTGTGACTTCGTGCTAGCACAGCTATCGACGGCTCTCTACCTAATTTCACCCACAGGGCTTGGGTCAACCCGTGGTATGGTTTTCAGGCACTTTCCAAAGGTGCCGCACGATGGGATTATCCCCCTCCAGACCGATAACATCAAGACGTCCTCTTCCGGACCTACATACATACATACATGGCGACAGATAAGAGCTTCCCGTCTTATTTTCACGTTCATGGCCCATAAGGTGACACTTGAGACCAGCAGGCTATCATGAATTTCTTCCTGGAAGAGATGAAATATTCATCATCATCATCATCATTACCGCATCATCTTGACTTTTTAAATCGTACGGAGATCCGAATGTAGAAGCCACACTGAATCTCTTCCACAAAGATCTATCAACGGCAGTCATGAGCAATTCTCGTAGTCATACTTGTTCATTGTTTGACATTGTCCAACCAGTTTTTCCGTCCTCTCCCATGACCACCTTTAACGGTGGCTTGCATGATGGTCTCGCAAGGGCTGACGTGCCTTGTAACGTGTCCAAACCATGAGACATTATTGCTTGCAAATGTTACAGATTTGTTTAAGCATTTTTTCATATAACGTTTCAGCCCAGTGCAAAGCGACAATGCGACTAGGATGCAGGCGGATAAACTCTGGATCTTGATTGGATTGATACGATCTTCAGGCTCAACATTTCTCCTCCTGTGTACCACCATGTACGTCTTCATTGAAGATCATGACCTGCAAACAACACAAACGATGTTGACAGGACGTTGAGGTAGGTTGGCATAGTTAGCTTGTTTCTGGTTTTTATGGTAACCTGCCCCGTAACACAGCATGCGCGCAAACACACCACATTTACAATCTATGTCAGTCTGTTTATTATCTATCTATCTATCTATCTATCTATCTATCTATCTATCTATCTCAGTCTGTTGAAATCTATCTATCTATCTATCTATCTATCTATCTATCTATCTATCTATCTCAGTCTGTTGAAATCTATCTATCTATCTATCTAAGTCTGTTGAAATCTATCTATCTATCTATCTATCTATCTATCTATCTATCCATCTATCTATCTTACTCTTCACCTCTCTATATATATCAGAATATTTTCATATCTATCTATCTATCTATCTATCTATCTATCTATCTATCTATCTATCTCAGTCTGTTCTTATCTATCTCAGTCTAATCATATCTTTCATTTTAAGTTTTAAATTTAAATATTTTAAAACTTTACCATCCAATTACTTGACATTGTTCTGAGATATAGATATTTATATATCATCTTCTCCCATATCTATCTATCTATCTATCTATCTATCTATCTATCTATCTATCGTTTGTGTGTATATGGGTGCGTGTATTTGTTTGTATGTGTATGTTATGACTGTGTATGGGAGAAGGGTGACTTAGCGTGTTTTTTGTCGTGTGGGGAACATGACTGAAACACACACGCACAGTAACATCACAAGGCATAATAAACACGTGACATCTATCTGGCCAATGAAAACAAACTGCGCAGAATTCGAAACAGAATTTATTCTCATGCATAACTCATTTCCAATAAATTTACTGTTGAAACTGAAACAAAAGAATAACATTTCATATTTAAAAATGATTTTCTATTTGTTCCTGATTTCATTATTCTCTCGGATTTAATCCGTATTTATTGAAAAATTGCTAATCATAAAAAGTGAAAAGATTTGGAGAATACTTTGTAGTGGTATAACTTTTCATTTCCATTATTCCATGACGCACGTCAGTATAGCTATTCAGTTGCACTTATTGTTGTAGAACAGGACTCACCTTACTTCCTGCTCTTCCCTATGACTGTTCCTACTTATAGATATGGCAAGTAGCTACATTAGAGTAGGATTTGAGCAGCATTTGATTTACTCAATTTTTCAGTTTTATGTATGAGTATTTAATAAACCTCTTCTTTGTTTTTCCTACCTAGTCTTCTGTTCCTTTGATATTCTAACTACGACCTTCCTAATTCTCGATTATTTTGAACAAAGACAAAATTCGAGCTAAAAAGAACATCTATTACTTACTTGTTCAAAAAACGCATTACTTTTGCCCAAGTTTCAGTGATTTTTAACAAATACTTCCTTTTGAATCGAACTTAACATAGAAAGAAAATCATAACTTTTGTTCAGATTGAGATTTCTGAAAGCTATCCTTGTTCTAGCTATAGTTTCCTTCGTCTTAGTAACGCATAATAAAAAGAGATACGAAAAGAATGGAAGGAATACATCTCAGTATCGTTTCTTAAAAATGGTGTAGTGAAACAGACACATGTTATATTAAAACCTGAGGTAAGCTCGGCACTGACCAAGATAAATGGAAACAAAGCAATAGGAACAGAAAATAGAGATGTTGTCAGTTTTAGACGATTTCAGTATAGATAAATTTTCCGAGATAATAAATGAAATATAAGACAAAACTCTTGTAAAGATTGAGCATCATTCTAAAAAAATAATTAAGAAAATGTTTATATATTTTATATGTATATATATATATATATATATATAATATAATATATCGATATTTATTTAGCTCCATCAAGAATGATGCACAATTATGTTACATTAATTAGATTCTGTTTCTTCTGTTTTCATTGATTGTGCAGGCATCAGGTGTACATTTTGTGTTGTTAATAGTTATGGCTGTATGAACTTTTAACATTCTATATTTCGTTAATATAAAATATACATGTGAAATATAGACAACCATTCTGAATAAAATGTGAAATTTAAAATATGAAACATAATTCTGAATCATAAATAGTGAAACTTGTTAAATCTATAAATATTTTTCTATTTGTTTCATATTAAATCGCACACACACACACACACACACACATATGAATTGGGATCAAATATGGATTATAATTCGACAGAATGATAGGATAATGGACAAACAGAAAACGTTTATAAATGTAACACGTTTCGCTTTTATTTAAAAATTTAATTTTCTGATGCAGCTTAAAGCAAAAAGAAAAAAGAAAGAAAGAAGTAGCAGAAGATGAAGAAAAAGAAGAAAAGGTAGACGAATGAGGAGGAGAAGAACAAAAAGAAGCAGAAGGATGAGGGGAAGTAGTAGTATGGGTTGAATCATATATATATATATATATATATATATATATATATATATATATATATATGTTTCACTGAATACTACTGATAAGGTACTGTGATTAACAGTTTAATTCTTTTTTTTTTTTTTGCATATGTATACGTTTTTCTTTCCTTGACAGTTTTGGCGCACTCTGTGTCCAGAAAAGAGAATACTTTCAGGAATGCAAGAAAATGTTAATAAAAAGCATAATCGCAATGTCTTGTCAGTTTTCTTCAAGGAAACTTGTATAAAAGAGGAATAGGTGCCACACACACACACACACAAACACACACACACACACACACACACACACATATATATATATATATATATATGTGTGTGTGTGTGTGTGTGTTTGTGTGCATGTGTTTCAAAGAGTTGTTTTGAGGAACATGCATGACAAAGTGGAAAAAAATTTCCGTGTAACGGGTTTCATCCTTTAAGACTTCATCGGACTAAAAGACGCGTCACACAAAAAACTTTTTTCCCACTTTGTCATACATGTTCCCCCAATATTGTTCTTAATATATAAACATTCATATATCGTTCTCTCATATATCAGTGTTGATTATATATATATATATATATATATATATATATATATATACCAGGCGTAACAGCAAAATTATCCAAATCGTGTAACAGCAAAATAGTCCAATAATTAGATTAAACTGTAACATAAACCGCTGTATAAATTTTTAAAAATATGTTAGTGGAGTTCTCCGAAGATTTTATAACACTATTGGACTCCCCTTTGAGAAATAAGAATGTATTTAGCTCTAAGTGTAAGTGATGATCCCTATTTCTGTTGTGACCTCCTGATTCAGATTTCCTATATACTGTTCCCTCTTTTTAAAGCTTATTTACTGTTCTTTGACTCATTCTTAAATAAACTTTGAAGATGGAAGCCAGAGAGTACGAATGTTGGCATCATTACTGAAGGCCTGAATGATTTTTTTTCTCTCAGCATTGCTCAGTTTGGAGGACATCGTTGTTTTGACACAAAACGATTTTAACCCGTTCTCTTTCTAGCTGAATAACTTAAAGGGTTTTTCAGTAATTCTTAAGATAAATGGCGTCCAGATGGGCAACCGTCCTATCTAAAAGTCTGAAAAAAAGAAACTCAATTTCTGTGGTGTTTTTTAGATATTAAACTGAAATCGATAATTATCCCATTCTGTCACACGATTTGGACAATTTTGATGGTTCATCATTATATATATATATATATATATATATATAGGCCTAGAAACACCTAGTCTACGTTAAGACATCTCTCTATATAGAAAGGTCTGATATCACACCTACGACTCCGTTTGCATTCAATCATGTAGACCAGTTCTTTTAGATAAATGTATTCGAAGTCAAAAAAAAAAAAAAAATCAACTTTCAAAGGGAACAACGCCATCGTGCATCTTTGGTATTGTTCCCAACCAAAGACGTCCAGTGTCGCCACTGCTTCAGATTCTGCAAATACAGACTTGGTTTGCTGAGTCACCTTCGGATCCATTGATGAATTGCAAGACGATTTCTTCTTTGAATCCGAATAAAACCCATGATGACAATTCAGATATCCTTTGTTATTTTAGTCAAGCAATGGCATTCGATTTCTTAGTCAAGCAATGAAATTCAATTTTTTAGTCAATCAATAGGATTACACGAAATCCATTCGCAGCCAACATAAATATATATATATTTTTTTTAATCATTTCGCTCCAAGCACGGCGGGAATGCCACTTGTACGCAAGGTGTTACAGAGAGTAAAGGTGAGGGAATAGACTGGGGATATGGGGGACCGAGGAAATAATAAAAGCTGAACATGGTTCAAGAAAATAGAAGATGGCGATTGACGTTGCATTTACATTTTTGAAGATTGTAGTTATCAGGGAAGCATGTAAACGCAGGCGGGAAGTGCGAGAAAAGAACCCATTGGAGTAGAAGTAACTGTTACATTTACCTAATTCAACAGTTAAAAGGTGGGAACTAGATGTCAATCTAGTATTCCGGATACCAGGGGAAAAGCCCGTCAGAGCTCTTGCCATGAAAATATTTGTGGAAAAGGCAGAGGGAAGCCACATCACATCGGTGGGAAATTGATTGAAGTGTAGACGTCAATTCAGGGTCTATTACAATGCATATCCTTCTTTGGATTTTGTCAAGAACCTCGAGATGCATAGCAGGAGCAGCACCAGACCAGATATGGAAACAGTATTCAATGCACAGACAAATGGTAGATTTATAAATGTGCAAGATGCACTCTGACGATAAAAAACCTTCTGGCACGACACAGTGACCCAAATTTCCTTGCAGTAGATGCGGTTATTGATTCGATGTAGTCGTACCACTTCAGTTCAGTTGAAAGCGTGAGGCCAAGAACGCGGAATGTGTTGTTCTACACTAGTCTATCATCAACCATGCTGATGGTGGGAAGGAATGTTTCTCTATAGCGGTTAAATGAGAGCAGTTTCGTTTTGGCGGCAATAAAATTTACCAGCCAATTAACCAGAGATTGGAGATCCTTTTCAAGAGCAGCGGCTAGGTTAAATTTGTTAGCTCTGACGGATTTGCTATTGAGACAGGAGTAAATGGTAGTGTCATCAGCATAAATGCCTACTTGGAAACTGATGACATCAGGAAGATTATTGATGAAGATGATCTTCGTAGGACAACGTAAGACCCAGTATAGAGCCTTGAGGGACACCTGCGTTCGTGTGAAGGGATCTAAAAGCGTACCCGTTTGAAACGACCTTCATTTCACGATTTGGTTGGAACGATTAGATTAAGTCAAACAACTGTCCTCTAATATCGTAGCCCTGGAGCTTACGTAGAAGACCAGCGTGCCAGACTCTGCTAAACTCTGTCAAATGCCTTCGAGATATCTAGAGCCACAGCTCGAGCTTCGCCGTTATCATCAAGAGCTTGATATACATATTTAGTTATGTCCGTTAGCACATCAGCAGTTGACCTGGCAAAACGGAAGCCATGTTTTTTGTCAGAGAGTAGAAAGAGGTGAGATGCTTAACCACTACAGCATTGATTAAAGAGTCGAATCAGTCAGTTATGATACACGCGTAGGCTATCATGAACCTTTCGATACATGACTGACGAGGCAGTTTTTTTTCAGAGGTAGTTGCCATTTCTTTCTGCGGTAGACCAGTTGCCATCCAAGGCTATACTATAGAACCTGGTCTGTCCTGCTATTTACCCATAGCTGAGGGGAGA